TCAGTATACGTGTTTAGCACATTTGATCTGCTGAGTGCCTATACAATCAAGTCCACTATAAGGAATGAGAAAAAACCATACACAGCGTTCAAGGCTAGTGATGGCCTGATCAGTTTACCAGAGTCCCTTTTGGAGTCACATGGGGTAGCCTGCTTCCAAGAATTATGGATTCACTCATCAGAAGAGCAACTCAGGGGAACTTACGCGTATTTTCGATAATGTTACCATTTGTGGCCAAGCCCCAGGAGGAAACATGTTGCAAACCTTGATAAGTTTTTGGAGCCGCCAAGAGATAAAAATTATCAGTTACAATGAGGAAAGTGCACTTTTTCAACTAAAAGGCTTAGGCATCTTGGTTATGTAGTGGATGGAGGTTCAATATTCCCAGACCTGAACGATACGACCTCTACGGGGAACTTCCAATGCTCAAGACAAAAGTCACTCCGAAGAACTCTTGGGTCTCTTTGCTTATATCAACAATGGATCTACAACTATTCAAGTAAAGTCCGCATTGAGTGCTACCACATTTCTGTGACCAAAGGAAGCAGAAGCCGCTTTCCATACTCTCAAACAGGACATTGAAACTCAGTAGTTCAAGCCATTGATTGAGTCCTACCTTTCGACAGAAATGGAAACGGATGCATCTGACAATGCCATTGCTGGTCTTATCCTCCAGGCAGGCCACCAGTAGCCTTCTTTGGAGAACTTTTCAAGGATTCAAGAGAAATGTTATGTGTCTGTAGAAAAGGAGCCCAGCATCATAGAAAGCAGTTCGCACTGGAGGCATTATTTTACTGGTAGACATTTCACATAAGGGCACTTGCCCAACGGTCCGTGATCGTATATGTTCGACAAGAGGCACAAAAGTAGGTAAAGAATGACATGATTTACGCTGGGGATGGAACTATGTGTTATGACTTTGATATTCTTGTAGACCGGGTAATGAGAACACTCACCTGATGCATTCTCTAGGTCCCATGTGGAGCAGATGTCATGATTTGCAATCACTCTCAGCTCTCCACAGGCTTTGTGTCACCAGGTGTTACACGCCTGTACCATTTTGTCAAATCAAAGGAACATGCCTACTCAGTGGAGATGTGCGGACAAGTGATCAGGAGCATGCAGAGTATGTGCAGAGTGCAGCCCAAACTTTTCATAGCCAGAGAAGACTCATCTATAAAAATCCACCAGCCTTCCGAAAAAAGATTGAATATAGATTCAAAGGACCTCTACCTAGCACAAATCAGAATAGGTATTTCCTTACACATAGTAGATGAATATTCAAGGTTTCCTTTGTATTCCCCAGTGCAAACTATGGCTGCTTTCAACTGTTATTAGTTGTCTTTCACAGTTGTTCTCTATTTTTGGTTATGTCCTAGCTAAATCATTAGACAGGGGATCCTCGTTCATGAGTAACGAACTTCAGGAGTTTTTTGGCTAGCCAAGGTATTGCCTGCAGCCAGACAAACAAGCTACAACCCTCAAGCAATGGTCAAGTGGAGCGGGTTCAATGGGTCTTATGGGAAGGCAGTTACTGGGATGACATTAAAGTCGGCAATCTACCAGTTCAAAACTGGCAAAACTGCCCCTACCTGATGCACTTCCACTCTATTAGAATCACTGCTTGTGCACAGTACTAATGCAACCCCTCATGAAAGACTCCTTCAACTTTCACGACGTTCCTCTACGGGAGCCTCCGTTGCCCACTTGGTTTTGTTCATCCGGACCCGTTCTCCTGAAGAGTCACCGTAGGATGAAACAAGAGGATCCTTTAGTTGGAAGAGGTAGGGCTCCTGCCATGCTTAATACACATTTACGCCCACATTCGCTACCAAAATGGTGAAGAGACTACAGTATCTTAAAAGACATTTAGCCCAGTTGAAAATACCTATTAGTGTGGAATCTCAGAATGATACACAAAAGATGTGAAAGTTTGCTTCGTTTTCTCCTGGAAGCCCTTGAGAACGACCCCTATTGGTAATAGAGGAGGATTCTGCGCAGCGTTGATCAAACCCCGTGGAAAATATCGAACCCCTGGTGAAGAGGTCAAGGGCTACGAAGGTCGGGACTGGTACGTCGCCTCACGACAGTTTGGAGCATTACTGCTCTTCTGATATTTAGAAGGGGGGATTGTAGTGATACTGGTCCTGTGGGGGCAGCAGAGGAATATATGCACACCTCTAGGGGCCCTTACAACAAACAACAGTTTGGCGTGGTCATGGGCACCAACATATGGTGTGTGATTCTCTCCTACTTTACCATTTATCACCGATGCAGATTACATGGTGAGTTTAAATATGTGGCCTGTAGTTATAACTTTTCTCTTGACATATGCAAGACATCACCATCCCTGTAGAAGCCATTATTAGATGTACTAGTCATTATATTTTTGTTGTTGCAGATAGTACTATGAAGATTCTATGTTCAATAAAGCCTAGAGATAAGGCCTGTGTTTCTATCACAACAACATCGCTTCACCACTCTCTTAACTTCTTTTTTTATCCCCACATACTCCCTCCTTGCATTACTTCTACTTTGTAAAAACCTCTCACATGCTAACTTTTTCTCTCTTACTAATCTCTCTACATCATTCACCAGTCATCTTTCTTCCTCCCGCACCACTTTCCTGTTAACCATAAACTTCTGCTTGAACACAATAACAACTACATTCTTAAACCTACCCAATACTCTTCATCCCATTGCCTATACTCTCAACTAGCCCATCTGTCCTCCAATAGTTGTTTTATATCTTACCTACTGCGTCCTCCTGTAGCTTATAAACCCTCACCTCTCTCTTACTTGCTGCCTTCTAATTTCTTTGTATCCATCTACCTTCTACTCTCTCTATAGCTACAATTAAAAGTGATCTGATATATCTGTGGCCCTCATAACATGTACATTCGGAATTTCTATCCAACAGTCTTTTCTCTACCCAATACCGTAGTCCAAACAAACTACTGTCATTACGCCCTAAATCATATCTTGTATATTTGTTTATCCTCTTTTTCTTAAAATATGTATTACCTATAACCAAACCCCTTTCTATACAAAGATCATCAAAGGTGCCCCACTTTTCATTTAACACCTGGAACCCAAACTTACCTACACACCCTCTTTAAATGTTTCTCCTACTTAAGTATATAGGTCACCTACCACAATTACTCTCTCACTTGGTTCAAAAGTTCCTACACACTCGTTTAACATCTCCCAAATTTTTTCTCTCTCCTCTACACTCCTCTCTTCTCCAGGTGCATACACACGTATCATGACCCACTCTTCGCATCCGACCCTTATTTTAATTCACATAATCCTTGAATTTATACATTTAAATTCCCTCTTCTCCTTCCATAACTGAGCCTTCAACATTATTGCTACCTTTTCCTTAGCTCTAACTCTCTCAGATACTCCTGACTTAATCCCATTTATTTCTCTCCACTGAAACTCACCTACTCCCTTCAGCTTTGTTTTTCTTAGAGCCAGGACATCCAACTTCTTTTCATTCAAAACATTAGCAATCATCTCTTTCTTATCATCCGCACTACATCCACGCACATTCAAATATCCCAAATACTATTATTTAGTATTTTCTAGAGGAGAAGGGGTTACCAGTCCATTGCTCCTGGCATTTTAGTCACCTCTTACGACAAGCATGGCTTATGGAGGAAAGACTCTTTTCTACTTCCCCATGGAGAATAGAGGAAATAAAGAAGAACAAGAACTATTAAGACAAAAAAAAGAAAAACCTTTATTTTTTTTATGTATATATATATATGCATGTGCATGCCTGTGTAGTGTGACCTAAGTGTAAGTAGAAGTAGCAAGATATACCTGTTATCCAAATAAGGCAAGCAAAAATTTGTGTATGCAATAATTTCACAAAAATTATTCTGAACCTAACGAAATATATATATATATATATATATATATATATATATATATATATATATATATATATATATATATATATATATATATATATATATATATATATATATATATATAATAATATATAATATATATATATATATATATATATATATATATATATATATATATATATATATATATATATATATATATAATATATATATATATATATCACTGTCTGTTTATTGTTAAATTATTGTAAACTTATCTAAAATATATTTAGTTGGATTAGGCTAAATTAAATTGCTAAATTAAATAACGTTAGGTAAGTTTTCTAAGGCTCTTTTGGTACAAAATTATTAATTTTTACATTATCATAAATGAAAAAATAAATCTTTAAACGTATAAGAGAAACTTTTTAGAAAGGACTGAATTTTAAATGAGTTCTTGCTAACTGACCAGTTTTACCTACTCGGGGTCCACCTCTGGTGTAAATTGTAGGACCCATAGCCTCGGAGAAGTGGATAAAAAGGCTTCAAGGAAGAATATTTGGATTTCTTCCTGAAGCCGTTTGAATATTCCACTTCCCCTACCACCCCATCTTTTCATTCTTTTTTTATTTTTACCAATAGGAATATTTTATTACATAATATGGTACAGAAGATTTGAGAGATACATTGTTGACATAAAGGTGGCATATACGGTACATGTTGTTACGTGTGTATCACCGATTATAAGGCGAAAATCTCATCCATCTCCTCAGAGCTGGGGCGTGTGCCCAAAATACAGCAGGCATTACCCATTTGAACAGCCGCACTGAGCTGCTGGAACAGAAAACTAGCTGCCCTGGGATCTCTAGTTTCCCTATTGAGTCTTTTTCCCAGCTCCTTAAGGAATTTAGATGCACTCTTTCCCCATGAGCCAAGGGTCTCTGAGCCTATGGGAACAAACATATAATGATGGGCAAGTTCTCCATATTTTCTAGAGTTTTGGGACTCCCTGAAGCTGGCAGCTGCCCCTCCTTCCTCCCTGGTGTATTGGAGATAGGTATCAGCCGAGGTAGATGCACATGTATAGTCCCACACCACCTACACAATATAATGTATGTATGAGAGTAACATTGAGGGTCTTACCAGTAGCCATGGAGAGTCTCCTGACGGTGAGGATAGAGAGCCAGTTAACGTGGGTGAGAGCGTCCATCATCAACGCCCACAACATACTCCACGCCCACATCAACAAGTAAGGCAACGCTGACACCAAACCGTTCTGTAGCCCAAGCAACAACTGTTATTAGTGCAATCATGAGGGGAGCACTAAATTCGTAGGAGTCATACAGCGCCTGGGGTAAAAAGGATGCAATCACATTGGATCTTGGAGCCCCTCACCAGTGTCGAGGAACCGCCCTAGAGGGACCCTAGGGAACAACACCACACTGTACACGATGACCAAAGCAAAGCATCCTTGAATAATATATCTTTGAAAGAGCGCGTGCGTTTATACACGCATTACAGTTCGTGTATTTCTGCCCGATTTGTAAAAATTCAAAATTTGCATGTTGGTTTTTCTAGGTTAAGGTTATTATAGATAATAACCACTACGTAGCAGAACTCGGGCATTAATTTACATTGTATATACAACCTATGTGCACCACGGAATAAGCATTTCTTGTACAGATTATTATTTTGGGAGATATTACTGGTTGGCAGCGCACTCGGCTCACAGTGTCCGTGGTTCGATCCTCGGCACGGGTGGAAGCGTTGGACATGTTTCCTTACACCTGCTGCCCCTGTTCACCTAGTTAGTTTAATATGTTTATTATGTACCCCATACCCATCCTGTGGGCGGTAGTCAAAAGATTACAGAGGTACATAATGGGTCCAGGGATTGGGACCCAAAGTTTTGATAGCTGAGCAAGTTACAAACCTAGCAGTATGTACCTGGGTGTTAGTAGACTGTTGTGGGTCGCATCCTGGGGGCAAGATTAAAGGATCACAATGGAAATAAGAGTGTCAATCACCTTAATTGTATAATATACTGTACTGCACCTTATAAAATTTGTTTGACTTTGTTGGGTTATCCTGGGCGACTAGCTCTCCCCTGGGTTAAAACTCCGAACAAATTTTATTATATCTTACTGTCCCTCAGAGCGTTGTTATCCCCACGCTCACTGGGTACTGGTACCAACTTAATTTATATTGGTATTTCAGTTTATATTATTATGATCATCCTGTTTTTTTGTAATCGATGTTTGATACTGAAGTGGAAGTCCAGTGTTTGATTCCAATGAATAGTGTTACGCAATACTGAAAAATAAAAGGACTTTTTTGGAAACGCTTTACATACAGCGTATTATTGTTTTGGTCTAAAGTTTATGTCTCTACAACCAAGGTATTTAATTATTATACTGATAACTGTATAACTGAACCATTAAAAGTAAAGATTAATAACAAGCATATTGACTATCTCATTATTTTTCAAATGTACTGGTATCTGTTGGTTGTACTCTGTACAGACTATAACTCAGATAATGACAGTTTCCAAGCTCTCACAACTGTAGCAAGTTAAAACTTTTATTATGGTGTTAGTGTTAGAGATGCCGAGGTTATATAAATACTCTACATCAAGTCACTGATTTACTACCAGCTTTTAGTCTCATAAAATCAGTAATTGATAAACTGTAAAAATACGAAAAAGTTCTAAGAATCACAATTTGCCGTCCAGTAACTAAGAAAATACTTACTGGAGAAATAAATATCTGTATCTAGTGTTAATGGTAATATATACGTAATTAATGTCATCAGAGGAGTGAAGTGCCAGTCGACTGTTGTGGTCGCATACCAGCGGCTGAGTATTGAAATTAGACGAGGTAGAATAACAGCCTGTAAAACTGATCTATTTAAAAAATATCACAAAATGAGTACAGAAACAATGAACTCCAATAATAGCCACACCCTAAAATTTCTAAATTAAAATAGTTGTCAAGCTAGAAAATGCCATACCACAAGAGAAGTTTGTTGAGGCACGTGAGGGGATCTTGTTCCGAGGAATTACACTTACCTTTCACTTCCTTGGAGCGAACCTGAACGCCACCCATTTTCCCAGGAAGGGTTTAGCGCTCTCCTTCAACGTAATAAAAAAACACAGAATTTTATTCCACAGGCAGATGACAAAGTTATGACAGCACCATGACCATGACACTCACCATGTATACCGCTAATTATTATTTTCAGCACTTAAATTCAGTAGTAACGATATTTACGGGGAAGCGATAAACCCGTAGGAATTATTCAGCACATGTGTAATTGGAGGTAATCATAATGATAATGATCTAAGGAAGGGAATGGTACTTTTAATCCCTTGGATCAAGAGTCTTTCACTAGTATCAAGGTACATCTCTCACCATTCCCCCTCCCCCACCGTGGAAATGTACAGTATATTATTATTATGTCAGCGGGCCACCAGTAGCAACAGAATGGTTGACCAGGCAAGCACCAGACGAGCCTGGACCTAGGCCGGGCTCTGGGAGTAGAATTATTATTATAATCAAAACTCGGAACTTCGGATGTATATATCAAAAGTATATATTCACGAGACAGTTATAAACTCAAACCAGTGCTAAATACAACTTTGTTTTGTCAAACAGTTTAATAACTATCAGAAAATAACTGATAAATGAATTTTAGGAGTGCAGAGAAAAACAAGTATATTCACTGTCTTAATGAAATGAACCTAGTACAACATTATAAACAAGTAATAAGCTCAAGAGACGATACTATATTGTCAAAAAATTGAAATTAGGCTATAAGTTTATATTGTATTGATATCTCAGTTATATGAACAATGGCATGGTAACGCACTATAACATTATACATTGGAATGTTAAAAGAATAAATTCTTTATTGTTATTACTATTATAATTGGAACATTTTTAAATTCTCATGGCAACCCAGTAGGATTAGAGAGGTCAAAATTGACCCAGGTAAAGTGGAAAATATCTTAATTTAAAATACATATAATACTAACTGAATGTTACATAAAACTCTACACGATGAAACTGTAATCTATGAAATGACTGTAATATCTAACTACATCACTATTTGTCCAGGCAGGGAGGTTGTGACTCCTGTTCTCCCTTATGTGTTACCGTTCACTCTATAATTAATAAGTTTTGTGCTAGACGCAGTATTTCTCACTTAGCGTAAGTACTGCTGGAAGCAGAGAGTTCGCAGTAAACAAGCCGTTCATTATAAATGAGTTATGATAACGCAGAAAGCAATTAGTTCGGAAAAAATAAATATTACTGAACGGAAATCTTGCGATATTGCGTATGTTTTCCAGAACTCTTTGACTGCTACAAGAAACCAGGTATCATGACTTACGAAATCGTAATAACACGACTGCAAACAAACCACGGAACGAGTGGGGTTTGAACTCATGGCAAGTGACTCCTAAAACTCCGAACCAGTGTGTAAGCCACTCGGCCAGCAAACCCCACCTGTTCCGTGTTTTTTTTTATATGAAAAAGGTAGTAAAGATAGCTGTGGTAGAGTAAATCTCCCTTGTAAACTCAATGCCCCCGGATTTCCTCCCACTTGATCCCTTAGTATGGCAGGTGTGTCTCCTGAAAGCATTCTACTCAAAATCGTTACTAAGGTTCGGGGTTCAATTCCCTGGCTCTGTGAAACAGTAGGCAAGTTTCCTTACACCCTTGCTGCCTCTGCCCATCTAGCAGTAAAATTAGATACCTGTGTGTTATCCGACTGTTGTGAGTCTCATACAGAGAATAAAAAATGTTGGAAAACTTCAGTCCTGCTGAAATGTCATTTCCTGTCTTAGGAAAGTCTCCAGTCCTGTGTAAGAAAACTGCAGTACCTACTGGAAGTGTGCAAGTCTTGTATAAATGTATGTGTATCTAATGATACATAATAATTAAAAAAAAGAACTACCACAGGTCACACTTCTCTATAAGCTTACGCTGATGAGGTCAAAGTGATGGACGTCATTCAGGTAGGAGGGCATCTCTGTCAGCAGAGTGTAGAAGCTGAAGTCAGTGCCCAGGCTAGCTGCTACCAGTGCCCAGAACGGAAGTGATGTCACGATGGCTCTCCAAGGAACCGCCACTATCTAGCACCAGATTAGGTCTTACATATCTAAATTAATAATAACTTTAATATTCAATAATAAACTTAATGTAAAGTAAAAGGACACAAGTGCAATTAATGTGACATTTTTAGTAGTAATACTACTACTACTACAACTTATATTACTACTACAACCACTAATATTACACCTCACTTTAAGCCTATATATACCCTCTGTGTCCATGTATTGTTTGTAACAGCTTGATAAAGCTCCTGGAGAGCGAAACGTTGCCACAATAAAATGTCACATTAGTTGCATTTGTGTCCTTTTACTTAACATATTGTGGGTAATTCTACCAACATTAATACAGTAAACATTTGTGTTGACAACTGCTACCACTTTATTAATGAATTTTAGCAATAAAACGGTTTTTAAAAAGCAATAAAAATTCAAGACTTCTAACCTCTGCTCTTTTCAGGGAATCTTGGTGTTGGCGGAGTATCCTGAGGTAGGCAATGGAGATTTTTGGGTGATCTTCTGGACGGTCGTACACAATGGCACACCACACCAGCCCCCACACCAAACCTGCCACCCCGAATACATAGAAGGTGGAAGGCCATCCCTCCAGGAAGTGTGATGATGCCAGCCACCCGCTGCTCGTCATGCCAACCACAGTGCCAAGCTGGAAGCCTAGACAAGAACAGTTACTGTCATACATTTATCTTAGACAGTTACATTACTGGTTTATGAAGAAACGTGAGCAAACACTTGGCGCCAGGACTAAAACGTTATTTAATGTTCTTGTCTTAACTCACTGGTAACCATTAAAAAGGTTTACACCAGTTACATTATTAGTATTATTATTATATTCAAGGAATATAATAATACTAATCATAATTAGTATTATTATATTCAAGGAAATGCAGCGTAGCTCCAATTCTTCGGATCAAGAGCCCTTCAGAATTATTGACCTCAACATCTGATATCACGATCTTCAGGAATACTTTAATCCCTAAAACCAGGACAATCCTCACCTGATTATTATTATAATCAAAAAGAAGCGCTAAGCCACAAGGGCTATACAGCGCTGCAGGGCAGGGAAGGAAGCGAGGGTATTGGGTGGCAGAAGGGAGGAGGGATGATCAGTAGGTTACAGAAAACAGCGGGGCAGGGGATAGTACAGGGGTAGAGGGAAGCAAGAGATTGAAGTAGAAAGGGCTGAAGGTATCAGAATTTGTGAAGTAAGTCAGTTGTTGTCAAAAAGTCAATGAGAGAGTCCGGATGAAAGGTGGGTCCATCAGCGAGAAGGGAAGGTAAAGAGAGAGCAGCGGAGCGAAGACGACGACGGAGGTAAATTCTGCGTGCTCGTTGATAAATGTGGCTGACTGATAATGGAGCTTGGCTCTCCATGAGATATCCATGAGTAAGACGAGTGTGGCCAATGCGAAGATGGGAGAGAGTAGTCTCCCAACCTCGACACTGGTGATAAGAAGACGGCCAGTAACCTATAATAGGTTTAATAGATTGAAGTTTGTTGCCGAGCATAGTAGACCAACGTTGTTGCCAACGGGTGCGAAGGTGGGAAGATATTGCAGCAAAATAGTCCGTACATGGAATACCTCTATATGAAACTGGTAGGTCATGTACTGCTGACCACGCAGCAGTGTCTGCCTGTTCATTGCCCTGTACGTCAACATGACCAGGGACCCAACAAAAAACAATATTTTTATGCTTGGTAAAGATGCAGCATAGCCAAAGTTGGATACGGAGGACTAAGGGGTGAGGTGTATCAAATTTCTGTATAGCCTGTAAAGCACTAAAGGAGTCTGAGACAACCACAAATGATGACACAGGCATAGATGCAATACAGATAAGTGCTGCAAGGATGGCATACAATTCAGCAGTAAAAATACTAGCCGAAGATAGTAAATGCCCTCGTACGATGCTGTCCGGACACACTGCTGCGAATCCTATGCCGTCAGAAGACTTAGAGCCATCTGTGTACACAGCAATGGCATGAGAATGAGAGTGGAAGTGGTCAAGAAAAAGAGAGCGGGAAGCAACCATAGACAGTTGGGCTTTCAAGCAAGGGAGAGAGAAAGAACAGACTCGAACAGCTGGAACTTCCCAGGGGGGTAGGGAAAAGTGAGATGCTACATGAACATAGAAAGGTGGTAATTGAAGAGAAGACAAGAGCGAATGAAGGCGAAGAGAGAAGGGACGGAGTAAACAGGGGCGGCGAACAAATAAAGAATGTCCACTAATATCAGTGACCATTCTATAAATGGAAGGATTGTGGAGATCATGAGAGAGTACATAGTAGCGAAGGCAATGGGCATCACGGCGATCGGATAAGGATGGAACGTTTGCTTCTGCATAGAGGCTCTCAACAGGGGAAGAGCGAAAAGCACCAAGGCATAAACGTAATCCTTGGTGATGAATGGGGTTAAGGCTAGAGAGAGTAGCAGGAGATGCCACTGAATAGATCTGGTCACCATAATCAAGTTTCGATAAAATGAGGGTGGAATGTAGGCGAAGGAGGGTTCGACGATCAGCTCCCCATGAAAGATGAGCAAGGGTTTTAAGAAGGTTCAGCCGGCTGTGACAAGTTACCTTCAGAAAGGTAATGTGAGGTTTCCAGGAAAACCTACGGTCAAAGAGGAGGCCCAGAAACTTGACTGTATCACGTTCAGGGATACGGGAGCCATAGAGGTACAAAGGATGATCGGAGATGACAGAGCGTCTAGTAAAAGTAATTTGGTGGGTTTTAGTGCTGGAAAATTTAAACCAATGTGTGGTGGCCCAATTGGAAACACGGTCGACCGCATGCTGGAGAGAAACTGTAATGAGGTGACAGTCAGCGCCTGCACAGGCAATAGCGAAGTCATCAACATAGAGTGATGATCAAATATTTGATGGAAGACTAGAGGCCAAATCATTAATAGCAAGGAGAAAAAGTGTTGTGCTCAGAATACATCCCTGGGGGACACCTTCAGCTTGGACAAAGTCTGAGGAGAGCACATTATTAACCCGAACACGGAAATGCCTGTCAGTTAAAAAGTTCTTAAGGAAGGATGGTAGACTGCCTCGAAGGCCTAAGGAGTGGGCTTGGGCTAAAATATTATACCTCCAAGTTGTGTCATATGCCTTCTCAAGGTCAAAAAATATGGCAATAACTGAGTGGTTATTCGCAAAGGCATTACGAACATACGTATCCAAGCATAGTAAGGGGTCTATGGTAGAACGGCCCTTACGAAAGCCATATTGACGAATGGAGAGACTGTTGTGTGTCTCTAAATACCACACTAAATGTCTATTTACCAGGCGTTCCATCACTTTGCAAACTGCACTGGTAAGAGCAATGGGACGATAGTGGGAGGCTTCATGTCCCGTAGTGCCTGGTTTGCGGAAAGGGAGAACAATGGCAGATTTCCACAGCTGTGGAAGAACTTGTTGTGACCAAATAAGATTGTAAAGGCATAATAGGACTGCAAGTGCTGACTGATGTAAATGTTGTAGCATACGAATATGAATGTCGTCGGGCCCAGCTGCCGATGATTGGCAACCTGAGAGTGTTGCCTCCAGTTCCTGAAGTGTAAAAGGCACATTATACTGTTCTTCTCTGAGAGAAGAAAAGTCCAAGGGTGCTAACTCTCTGGCAGACTTTGAGGAAAGAAACGAGGGGCATAGATGGAGTCACTGAGAAATACGGACCAGATGATTGCCAATTTCATTGGCAACCTCTAGTGGGTTTGCTATATCAACACCGGCAACCCGCAGAACAGGAGCCGGGTCAGGAGAATATTTACCACTCAGTTTTCGTACTTTTTTCCAGACTGCACTCATAGAGGAAGCAGAGGTGATGGTGGAGACATAATCTCACCAGCAAGTGCGTTTAGCGTCACGAATGACAAGGTGAGCGATCGCACACTTCTTAAAATCAAGAAGTCTCTCCATGGTTTTATTGTACCGGTACCTGCCCCATGCAGTGCGTTTCAAACATACTGCATGAGCACAAGCAGGAGACCACCAAGGCACGCATTTCTGAGAATGCCTGCCCAAAGTTTGGGGTATACAATTAGAAGCTGCGGTTAAAATGGAGGACGAGAAGAGGTGTAAAAGCTCATCAATGGAGGACGAAGAAGGAACCTCTCTAAAAACAGTTAGGTGTGAGTAAAGGTTCCAATTTGCCTGATCAAATTGCCAGCGTGGGATGCGAAGAGGTGGTAAATATGAAGGGGAAGTAAGAATGATTGGGAAATGATCGCTGTCATGTAAGTCCGGGAGAACAGACCAAGTGAAGTCTAATGCGGTGGAGGAAGAGCAGACTGAGAGATTGATGCAAGAGAGAGTGTGAGCCCGAGGATCAAAATGGGTGTGAGTACCTGTATTTAAAACATGGAGGGGGTGCGTGGCAAGAAAAGCCTCTAACTGAATGCCACGGGAATCACAGTGAGACCCCCCCCCCCAGAGGAAGTGGTGGGCATTAAAATCGCCAAGTAACAGAATCGGTGGCGGTAATGACGAAACAAGAAAGGCAATATCCGGAATAGATAATGCCCAAGAAGGAGAGAGATATAAAGAACAGAGCGTATACCACCTATGCAAGTGGATACGGGCTGCTGTGTAATGCAGAGGTATGAACAAATAGCTGATGGTACGGAATATCAGTGCGTAGAAGAAGGGCACTTTCATTAAAGGTCCCATCAGGAAAAGGATCTGAAGAATACAATAAATTATAGCCTGAGATGGGAGAGATAACAGCAGAGTGTAATTTTGGTTCCTGTAAGCAAACACCAATAGGGGAAAACTGGGAGAGTAACATCTGAAGCTCACCCCGATTACCCCTGAGGCCCCGTATATTCCACTGTAAATAGGCCATGATTGGCAATGATAAAGATACCTGAAATCCGCAGGTAAGGGTTCCTACGGACTAGAGGGGTTAGAAAAGTCCACATGTGGAGGCAGTGGAAAACGTTCAAGCAGCGAAGGAATGGTGCGCTGTGAAGAAAGGAGTTGTGCAGATGGAGCAGAGGAGAGAGAAGGAATGGAGGGTGGATCAGTGTCCATTGATGGTTTGGTCTCTGCAATATATTCAGAGATTGCTTCAAGTGTTTTGGAATTCAGAGACGTCGTATGGGAGACAATATTGGAAATGGTAGGGGGAGGATGAGTAAAGATTGGAACTGTAATGGACTGTACCAAGGTAGGGGAGGGCGACAGGGTGGAGGGAACTGGAGAAGCGTGGAAGGGGACAGAAGAGGCAGAAATCTGGGAGGTGGCAGAAGAGGAAGAAACTTGGGAGGGAACAGGGGATGAAGGTACAGTATGAGGAGGAGGGTGAACCTCTACACTTGTAGCAGAGCCAGTGAGAGGGGAAGAACCAGGTACAGAGACAGGGAAGGTAAAATGAGGAAGTGGAAGATGGGTAGGTGTTAACGGACCTTTTTTTGACTTCTGAGAAGTAGAGGGACGATTGGGAGGAGGTGTCATATGAGATCTCGTCGCTACTGAGGCTTGTGAGGGAGAACACAAAGAAGCGAGATCAGACTGAGGCGTTGAAGTAGGGACGTCTGAGCCTAGGACAGCAAAAGAATTAGATACAGGAGTGACTATGGGAGAGGTAACCACAGAGGTGGTTGCAGAAGATGGGATCCCAGAAGTGGGGGGACGTTTTGAAACACGGGAATAAGAAACACGAGGTAGTCTCCCTTGGAGGCGGAGATGAGAAACTGCCATGGCATAAGGGAGACCTTCTGCCTCTTTGAGGTAATGGATTTCCCGCTCCTTTAAGTAGACTTGACAATGGCGAAAGTACGAAGGGTGAGCCTCATGACAATTAAGGCAAGAGGGAGGTCGATTGCAAGACGTATTAGAATGGTCATCGGCACCACAGACTGGGCATTCGGCGATAGATCTGCAATATTTCGCTGGATGGCCAAATCACCAGCAATTTCTACACTGTTGCAGTGTAGGGATCACCTTTCGAACTTGTAACCGATGTCCTGCTACATAAACTGAGGATGGGAGTTCACGGCAGTCAAAAGTTAAACGAGCCACATTGCTAGGGTATCGTCTCCGCCCGCGAGCAGGAAGAACGTAAGTGTCTACCTTGAGGATTGGGAGATCTTGGAGTTCCAGCTGTTCAAGAATGTCAGTGCCACATGTCTGGAAATTTTGTTGAACTATGGTATGGGGCAGAATGACGGTACCACTACAAGAATTGAGGGAATGATGTTTTTCAATAGTGACAGGAACAGTATCGATATGGGAAAGACAAGAAAGCTCATGAGCCTGGGTAGCATTCTGTACGGTGATGATGCGCATACCACTCTTAAGAGCATGAAAAGATGCAGCATGGAACCCGTGCCATACCCTACCCATCATGCCAGTAAACCAGCAATCCGGGATACAACCTCACATCTGCCGAGCTACCTCAGTGGGCAAAAGAGAGGGCGGCCGGAAATCCGCCACAGAGCATACCTCCTTCGGCCACCACCCCCGGAATCCGAAAGGTGGCTTCCAGAGATACACCTGTCGCCCGAGAGACACCCAAAGCCACCCACTGGGATACCAGAGAGGGATCATGACATCCCCAGGCAATCCAGATTCCACGGCAAACTGCGCCACCGCCAAGAACCTCAACGGAATGGGATGGACCCCGGTACCCTTTCCCCTACCTAGGAACTAGCGTGCCTGTGGAAAAAAAAAAAACCAAAGGCCATAAAGGAAGGGCAAAAGGGAGGGGTGGGGAGGAGGAGGAGGAAAGGAAAAAGGGAGGATGGGATGGGATAGGGAATGGGGGATTGGGGGGTAATTAGGTTCGGTCTGAGGAAGGAGACTGACAGGTCTAATTCCTCAGACCAAGAGCCTCTTCACCACGCCAAGGAGCCCCCCTTGAAGAGGAATCCTCACCTGAGAAAACGATGGTGCTAAATTTGCTCCTCTCAGCAGGGACGACCCAGGTAGCCAACATGGTGTTGACGGCAGGGAAGGTCACCCCCTGTATAATATACACATGTTAGCTGCCACCCAACCCTAGGCTCCGGGAGGCGGTGTTTTATTTGTTAGGAAACAAGTGTCTGAAATACACTATAGAAAGTATGGAAACATTATTTAGGATGTGGTCTTAAATAGTTTCCATACTGCTTCTAGTGCCTTTTTTGTTTATGGTTTAAGATGAGTCGCGCAGACTCTGCTTCCCATACAAGATAAATAGTCGCCTGTAGATTCGACCTTTCCCGAGGACAACAATGAAATAAAGTTACCCATTTTTTTTATTTTGAACCAAAACTAGCCTAGCAACCTTACCTAATCACGCTACAATTTATGTGATATAAGTTAATTTGCCAACTTAAATAAGAATTTGCAATAATGGGGCGTATATTGTGCGACCTAGGTGAGCGCCGCACATCCACCAAAGATGGTAAATTCATCATCAATATTAAGCTCACTCAATAATATAATCATCGCTCATAATGAGAAACAATTTTTCTGTCCCCTGTCATGAAATATTGTGGCAGTTGTTCTAAGATAGCAGTGCACACCCCACAACTAGTTGTATCATGCACAGCGCACACAATGCCAGTTTTCAATTTAATTTCAGTTTATTTTTGCATAACCATTTCAGTGTTTTCCTTAGGGTAAGGCGGCGAATCTTTAGGTGATCTGGTAAATGATAAAACAAAGGTTTGTCAGCAAGGATGGTTGTATTCATGAGTAAACATTAACCTCGTATGGATCATACAGCGCTTGAGTAGTAGTGGGTGGGGTAATGGGATGTCAGAGAATTATTTGTTACACTTGTAGGCTCCTTGGGGACATTTGATCCACACTTTTACGTAAATTGGACAACTTCGTTTCGGTTTTAGTTTAGTTTGTTAAGTTTAGCCTATCGGCCGCATACGTGCCGTTAAGGCTGCAATTCACCTTTGCAATAACGTCAAGAATATCTTAATCTCTAAAATATATATTAATGTAAACTCTCAGTGTATATATACACAGACGTAAACCTCTTGGTTTGCATACTCAATGTTGTCAGCTTGTAAGAGATACAGAAGTGAGAGCAACACATCTCACCTGCACTACCCCCAGCAGGATCCTGCAAGCAATGAAGAGCCCGACGGAGGCGCGGGCGCAGAGGGGAGAGATTAACGACAGAAAGAAGAGGTGATGATGCCCATTCCGAAAATCTTCTTTCCTCCGAGGTACTCACTAATGCGTCCCCCGATGATATTAGTGGTGGCGTAGCCCCAGAAGAAGGCACCCAGCACCACCCCCTCAGTCTGCTTGTCCCATTCAAACTCGCCTTTCTAATTCACACAGTAAACACAGCACAATAAAGAAAGTTATACACGAGTCATAAATCATCTAGGTAAGGGGGGAGGTAACTCCGGTTGCTTAGATCAACAGCCATTCACCAGCATCAAGGCACCTTCTTAAAAAAAATCTTTCATAGGTAGCAACATGGAAGGCAAAAACAAACGACAACAAAAAGCAGTATACAAAAAAAAAATACAAAAAATAACTTTTACCAAATAATAACATAGTACAGTGAGCTGCAGGAGGTTGTGTGTACAACAACTGATGAAAAGGTGAACTAAATTATGATAAATTAAGAAAGACTTTTACCGATTAGTAACATATAAGTACGATAAGGCACCTAAATTACTGGGAATGATTATAGGCCCTTGACTTGTATTCCCTGGAACGCAGGCGAGAGAGATACATGATAATATACATTGGAAAACCCTAGAGGGACTAGTGCCAAACTTGCACACGAAAATCACTCCCTATGAGAGCAAAAGACTCGGCAACATTCCCCCAATGACAAGCAGGGGCGTCACGAGTACGCTGAGAGACAACACAATAAGTGTCTGGGGCCCAAAGGTATTCAACTGCCTCCCAGCATACATAAGGGGGATTACCAATAGACACCTGGCTGTCTTTAAGAAGGCACTGGACAGGCACCTAAAGTCAGTACCTGACCAACCGGGTTGTGGTTCGTACGTCAGTTTGCGTGCGGCCAACAGTAACAGCCTGGTTGATCAGACCCTCATCCACCACGAGGCCTGGTCTCAGACCGAGCCGCGGGGGCGTTGACCCCCAAAACCCTCTCCAGGTAAACTACAGGTTATATAGTGAGCTGCAGGAGGTTGTGTACACCAACTGATGAAAGGTGAAATAAATTATGATAAATTAAGATGACATGACTCTATGAACTTAACTTTATTAAATAGCACACACATACACCGCCAGTTGAGAGACGGTGGCCAAGAGCTAAGACTCAACCCCAGCAACAACATATAGGCGAGTACATACAAGTAAATACACGCTCTCATGCGCACACGCACACTACATTTATCATATATCAGACATGTGCTTCTCTTAAAAACAGGTCTAAAAACAATAAAAATTATTAAAGCAAATGGATTATTTATTCTCTATACCATAAGTGGGTAAGTTATTTTTGTATGTAGCCACAGATGTGGCGAACGAGACGTTAAATTCGCCACACTATACAAAAATTGAGAAATTGGGTTACCCAACTGAAAATTAAGAAAAATTTGTAATAAACTTTTATTAAGTTTATTTAAAATGTGCAAATTTTGGCTATTGTTACAAATGCCTCAAACGCAGAGAAAAATTAAACAAATTGTTTAAACTGAAAAAAAAAAGAGAAAATTTAATGAGAAATCTGAGAAGACTTTTGTTTGACAAGTTGCAAAAATGTTGATTGAATATTAACGCCTCAGTTTCAGCTCCGCCTTGAAACTGACATGAATAATTCAAGAACAATATTTTGACTTTGTGAGTCTCATCGTTCAGAACCTAGATTCACACACACCAAGGTAATCCAGACATACCAACCTAACATAACATAGACAATAATTTCGAAATGTCTGATTTCAAAGCTGGGAGATCCTTCCCAGCTTTGTTACATTTTATTTTAGAGACAAACCACGACAAACTCAAATTCACCACGCCACTTGTGGCGATTGGCGCCAGGGTTACCCACCCTGACCCTATACCACAGTAGAAGTACTTAAAGATACAAATGCAGTATGTGATCCTCTACTGATAACGTTTCGCCCACACAGTGGCCTTGATCAAGTTGCAAACAGACAGTTTGTGACTTGAAGATCACTGTGTGGACGAAACTTTGTCAGTAAAAGATCGCATTATACTGCATTTGTCTTGATCCATCTTGTCGGTATTTTATACCATTTCTTTTTCAGGAGGTACTTACGTGGACCGGTAAGAGAGAGTCGTTGTGGCCCGGACACGCATAACTGGTGTTCTCGGCAGCTGTGCCAGCCATGACCACGATGGCAACGGAGAGGTTGACACGTTGGCAGTACTCAACCAGCAAGCCCATGCAACCCAGTACGGCGACCGTATATTGAGGGTTCCAGCGCCAACTTGCGTCATTATGTACTGGAATGCGATCAGATTAATGAATTCAGGGCCAACTCTCTCAGAAATGTTCAAGAAATGTCAGTGTTTGAGTCACAGTGGAATATTATCAACCATTCTAGAAAAAATCCCTGACTTTGCCTACTGTAAATAACGCATAACCACTTAAACTTTTTATTATTTTATTTAAAACATACCTTGTTAAAATGTAATGTTTTCGTATTTTGTCTGTGTATGTGCGTGACCTAATTCACGTCTGCATAAATAACTCATTACGACTGTAACCAGATATAAATCTGTAAACAGTCATCACCACTGTAATTAGTTTAGCTATCAAAACTTTTCGGCCCAGTGCTTGGATCCATTATGTACCTCTCTAATCTTTTGACTACCGCCCACAGGATGGGTATTGGATGCATAACAAAGATATTAAACTAATTAGCCTACCTACTTTTCATTTGCTAATCTCAGCTAGTGGTATACGTCTCACTCCCTAATTACAAAAAAAAAAAAATCACGATATCACCAGTCAGAGCCAGTTGTGTGCGTCCCACTCCCTAATCACGAATACACAAGCACGTTATCACCGGTCGCAGCCAGCTACGTACATATGAATTGCCAGTCACAGACAGGCTGGTGTGCACATCTGAAGGGCCACTCACAAGACAGACTGGTGCATACACCCGACGTGACAGTCAAATACAGATTGCTGCGTACACCCGATGAGCCAGTCACAGATTGGCAGCAAATATGCCAGTCATCTTGTAGATACGTCCACTACAGCATAGAACAAGGCCTGTGAGTTCACTACAGCAGAGAACAAAAAACTGAACCAGTTACGCTACAGTCACATTAGAAAAAAAAGTTAGGCATCAGGTGACAAGGCTGACGGCAATTAGGTTTGATCCGAAGAAGGGAAGGGTACCTCAGATTCCTGCGCTGCCTCTCGTATTTAAGTGCAAAGTGACGCTACTCCACAAGCGAAGGTTCTGCGGCGGTGCTTGGCAAACACTGGTAGATGAGCATTCTAAACCCACTCATCTACCTCTAGTAGTAGGTAAAACCACACAGTAGTAACTAGAGACATTTATTACAGCTACGTTTTGCTTCTAAAGAAGCAAAATAAGGATAAAGCTCATGGAGAGCGAAACGTAGCCTTATAAATGTCTGTTACTCTTGTTTTCTTGTATCAAACACACTGTTCTTAGTTTTACCAATGTTTATAAACCTGTTATTATTATATTCAGGGATAAGCGCCATACTAAAGTCCCAGTATGACTCAGTGTTTGGTGAGCCGCTAAGCAGACTAAGAGTCTACAACCTAAATGATTTGTTTTATAACCGAGACTCAGAATTTGGTCAATTCAAACATCTCTGATATTATCCTAACACCACATGACTTCCAAAAGGCAATAAATGACATGCCCATGCACTCTGCTCCAGGCCCAGATTCGTGGAACTCCGTGTTCATCAAGGACTGCAAGAAGCCCCTGTCACGTGCCTTTGGCATTCTATGGAGAGGGAACATAGACACGGGGGTCATCCCACAGTCACAGACATAGCCCCACTCTACAAAGGGGACAGTAAAGCAATAACAAAGAATTACAGAACGAAGCACTAACGTCCCATATCATAAAAATCTTTGAAATGCTTCTAAGAAGCTAGATCGTCACCCATTTAGATACCCATCAGTTACACAACTCAAGGCAACATGAGTTTAGAGCAGGTCGCTCCTGCCTGTCCCATCTACTGGACCAATATGACAAGGTCTTGGATGCTCTAGAAAACAAACAAAATGCAGATGTTGTGTACACAGACTTTGCAAAAGCATTCACGGCACACATAACTACTATTAAACACCTAAATTACTGGGAACGGTTGCGGTTCCTTGACTTGTGTTCCATGGAACGCAGGCGAGAAAGATGCATGATAATATATACTTGGAAAATCCTAGAGGGATTAGTACCAAATGTGCGCACGAAAAATCACTCCCTATGAAAGCAAAAGACTCGGCAGGAGATGCAACATTTCCCCGATGAAAAGCAGGGATGCCACGAGTACCCTATGAGACAACACAATAAGTGTCACGGGCTCCAAGACTTTTCAACTGCCTCCCAGCATACATTAGTGGGATTACCAATAGGCCCCTGGCTGTCTACATGAAAGCGCTGGACAGACACCTAAAGTCAGTACCTGACCAGCCGGGCTGTGGTTCGTACGTCTGTTTATGTGCAGCCAGCAGTAACAGTCTGGTTGATTAGGCCCTGATCCACCTAGAGGGCTGGTCAAAGACCGGGCCGCGGGGGCGTTGACCCCCGAAACCCTCTTCAGGTATACTCCAGGTAAACTAGCAAGGGTTATATAGTGCTTGGGAAAAGGTTGGTAATCTGGTTTGATCCATGGAAGGGGAGGGTAGCACCTACCTCTAGGGTTCCTCAAGAGAGGTGTACTCTCGTCACTGTCTCCTGGCAAGGTCATTATGTCCTTCAGCTGGTTTTGTTGTACTTAGTTTGGTGTGTTCCAGCTTGTTAACCCGTAGCTTACTGGCACCTACTTCCTTGCTTGCTTCATGTGTGTGACTGCGCTTGTTAGGTACTAGTTTACTGACACCTAGTTATTTTCTTCTCATGTGTGACTAGGCTTATTAGACACTAATTTACTAACACGTAGTTCCTTTCATTTGTTGCTAAGTTGTTAGATCCTACTTGACTGGGGTCCACTTCCATTCCATGTGTGTCCTATCTTGTTAGGTAGTAGTTTAGTGGGACATCACTTCTAACTAATATTAGTACTTCAGTCTCGGACGTTATGTTACCAGCGCCCGAGTTACTCGTTACTCAGTGACTGTTGTCTAGTGTTTCCGAATATTTTTAACTTTCTGTCACAAACATTGTAAACTTTCTGTGGAATAAGAGTGTAATTTAAACAAGTAATATCAATAAAAAAATTAAACCCGTGGGAGGGTTGTTATGAAACAATCGAGTGTCGTTCAAATTAGTTTTAGTAGTAACAGTAACCAATGCTGGGGACTTTTTAAGTTTTTTTTTTTTTGATCCTTCTCACTGTCTAGATTTTTTCGAGATAATTATTTTTTCTAGAAAGCCTTAACTTTATCTTAAGGAATGGTCACGCAATAAAATTGCCGGTCTTCACACGCAGCAACTAGTCATAGCAACTGTGACAAGTTCAGTCTGCATACAAACTAAATAGATCTGCTGAGTAGTGCTTTGTGACAGCATTTCGCTGTGGACCAGTAATCAGTGATATAAAGCCACAACAATGAATGATTTAATAATCTAATCATCGAGACATGGTACAACCCGAGACAACACGGTGTCATACCTGTTGTTTCATCTACGGATCAAGAAGAAAAAGAAAATATCAGCCTTGCTAGCATTTTGGAGTTACAGAAGCTGTAATCGTTCTTTTTATTTATTTTTAATTATAAATTGACAGTAGTTTAGTGAGGCTTGTATAGAGAAGACACCATTCCTACGAGCCCTCCTAGGGCGGGGAGGGTGCCAGAGCCAGAGCTTGCTACCACCTGCAGTCACAAGACTGCCACTCCCACGAGCCCCCCTGGGGTGGGGATGGTGGCAGACCAGAGGCCTAGCTTCTCCCTACGAGCCCCGTGATGCCGGGGTATGGAGCTAGGCCTGGGGACAGTTGGTCCCAGAAGATGAGGGGGTACTTGTACCTCCTCACATGGCAGACATACATCTCAGACACTCCCAAGACTGGGAGCCAAGGCCGGGTCACCAGCTAGAAGAGACTCAGACCGGGAGAGTACCGGCGAATCAAGAAGAAGAAATGAGGCTTGTTAAGGAAGCCGCCGGCTCACCAACATCCACCACTAACATGAAGTGAATGGGGGAGGGTGCTGCATGGTACACATCACACAGCCAGTGCTAACGTGAAGTGAGGGGACTGCTTGGTACTCGCGTGCGCGCACACACACAAAAAAAAGGAGGATGAAGAGGGCGGGGGGAGGGGGGGAGGGGGGGGAAAGGCTAAATGTCTATTGACAAGTGCCTTTGACAACTAGTAACTACTACTAAACACACAAACACACCACAAATAGGTGAGTACACACAGACACAGGAAACAGCAGTAATTGGCAGGCCTTGCAGGCCCAGTAACAAACCTATTACGTTCAGGTCACCACAGAGTTTCTACCCAAACTTCTCAAATTCGATCGGTGACAACTTTTGTATTGCTTCATGTGTTTATTTTAAGTCTCAAGCAAGAGCTAAAGGCAGACTTGGTAGGATGTTTCCACTGTAACGTAGGACTGTCTTTACACTTGTTTTGTTGGAGTCAATAAAGAAACGTCACATCTCAGGATCAATATGTCAATTACCCAAAGCATCGAAAAGTCCATTAACATCACAACAGTTATATTAATTATTCCAATTTAAAGTAAGTTTCAAGGCTTTTCTGACCCTTTCTGAACTACCTGATTCTTGTGTTTGGATGCAGTAAATTCCACTTGCGCAGTCATGGACCAAGTAGCTCTGACTTCCTGGGATGAATTAAGATCACACGCAAGTTTGTTAAGGTCACTGAGTCACTAGATGTGGTTCCTGGTTGTTGATTCCATCTGGCTCAAACTCAGAATCTTAGTGGCTCCTCTTTTTTTATCGCCCAGGGAAAATAAATCTTTACATGATGGTGGTACTGGAATAGGGAGATTTTCTGAATGTTCCGCCAGTCTGAGTGCAGAAGGAAAATCTAGATATGTAATTATGGATTTTTTTTTATGAAAATCCCAACACTCGTGATATAGAAATAATAACCCGTGTTGTGGCCCTTGGGATCCCTCCATACCATCGGGACTGCAAATGGCATGCATGACTTCCTTCCAGCAAACCACTCACGTAAGGAGTTGGAGCAAGTCACACAACAACTAAGAGGTGCGCACAGCTTGTCTTGGAATCTGACCCTCACACTTGATATTATTATCGTTTAAGAAACCACGAGGCATTGTAGGCTTATAACTTGACAGCTGAAAATACTACTATGAAAAAAAGACTACACACACTCCATTAGTAATAAAACATAGCATATCTTTCTTAAAACAAGACTTTTACTAATTTTAAGCATATTTTTAGAAATAATTTAGAGTAAAAGAATGTAGCTATGTCACAAAAAAATCCAAGGCATAGTTACATTGTTTAGTAGCCAGCTGGTCCAGTGGCTAACGCGTCGGTCTGGAGTTTTATGGTTCTCTGCTCGCGGGTTCTATCCCCGCCCGTGGTATGGTTTGAGTGTTGTAAACTATTAAATTTAATAAAACATTCTCTGCTCGTCTGTTGGTGTGAGCAGACGTGCGGCTGCTGCCCTCTCTCGGTGACTGGAAGACTTCTTGTTTTCTCCAATATGGCACAGGGTGTGAGGAGGAGGGTAAATACTGTGGGCATTGAGATGGTTCGCGGGGCGATTTCGCCACAAGCTGCTCCCGTGCTGTTGCCATTAATCATCCGGGATACGTATGGTATACAGGATGAGGAATTGTATGGCGTAGCACTTAATGGCGCATACAGGGTGTTTGTCAAGTTGTTGAACACCGGCGTCTATGAGAGGCTGGTAGAGCAATACGAGGATGTGCACATGGACGTCAATTCTATGGTGAGTGTCCGCCTTCATGACGTCTCCAGGCATTATACTTGGGTTAGAGTGCGAAATGTACCTTTCGAGGCAGATGAAACGGACATACGCAATGTTTTCAAGGTCTACGGGACCGTTCACCCACAGCCCAGCAAGTGGGTAGAAGGTGCATATGTTGGATTCCCAGAGGGCACGTTTTTGCTAAAAATGACGATAGGGCACCCCATACCATCATATGTTATGTTGGAGACCTTCAGGACTCAGCTCATGGTGTCCTATGCTGGGCAACGTAGGACCTGCTGGCATTGTGGTGGTTTTGATCACATTGCTGCATATTGTGAACGACAGACTCGACTTCATGGTCTGGAAAGTGTTGCCGCAGGGGAATCTGGGCAGTTTGGACGTGCTCTGGACCTATAGGAAGGACGTGGGCCTGGTCGTCTGTAGAGTGAGGAGGTGGAGTGAGCAGAGGCAGTGGCAGGTGTGGACCTGACGGCCCCTGTGGCTGGGGGCCCTGTAGGACCCATTTTGCCTGATGGTGGGGGACGGCATGGTTCGGCGGAGGAAGCCATCGACGAGGTCTTTGAGACGGTGCTCACCTCGTTGTTTCCCCAGTCAGATGGGGAGGGTGAGTTGGCGACGAGGGCTGGTGTGAGGAATGCTACAGACCTGTGTGGACAGCAAAATGAGCCCACTGACTTGGTGGTGTCTCATGGGGCAATGTGCCCAGATGGTGGGAAGGTTGGACATGTGGTGGAGGTGGAGGTTCACCGTGAGGTATCACAGGAGGTGGAGATGGAAGCGGGTGGAGTCATGCGCAAGCGTGAGGCTGTGACTAAGTAAGTAAGTGAGTAAGTTTATTCAGGTATACACAAATACAGTTACATAGAATTATCATACATAGCAGCATATGTGTAGAGAACCTAGGATAACCCAAAAAAGCCAGACAGAGTGACTTATTTCCAGCACAGAGGACCAGCAAGGTAGTGGTGGTGGAAGAAGATGGTGGTGGTCCCTCGGGGACTTCAGACCCAGAGCTGGACCAGGGAGGGGTCAGGGCTGCCAGTAGAGACATGCGCAAAGGAGGTCGAAAAGGACATGGTGGCGTTGTGAAGAAGGTGTCAAAGCACAGGGAGAAGAAATCACCGCTGGCCTAAGGTGTATGACAGTTAACATTAATGGTTTGTGTCAGGATGTGAAGCATGTGTGGTTTGCAAGTTTCTTGTGCCGGCATAGAGTGGATGTCATTTTTGTGCAAGAGCACAATATCAAGGTGGGGCATGTATTGGAAGTGGATGGATATAGGGCTTTTGTGATGCAGACAGGATGTTTGAAGGGAGGGGTGGGAGTCCTACTCTGGGAGGCTAGCCCATTTGTGGTTAGTAGAAGTGAAGGGGGGGTGAGGGGCGTATTATAAGAGTGGATGGATGGTGGATGGGCGAGCGAGTGGCGTTTGTGTGTGTGTATGCACCTGCGGAGAGTGATGCATGTCTGAAAGCAGATTTCGTGAGGGATGAGCTCGTTTATTATTTCTGTTCTTTACCAGCTGTTGCTATCGTGGGGGGGATTGGAATTGTGTTATTCGCAGGGCAGACATTGAGCCGTGTGGGGCGGGGCATTTTTCAACTATCCTAGGTGGTCTTCTGAGAGATGTGTGTCTCCGTGACATATTTGGGGGTGGGGCTTGGGAGTTGGAGCACACTTTTGTTAGACAGGGATATGCAGCGAGGCTAGATCGGGTGTACGTCACAACACAGGTGAGAGTAGAGTCCTCGCAGACGGTGGAGGTGGAATATTCTGATCATAGGGCGGTTGTGGTTGACCTGGGGTGGGATGGGCTGGCCAGGAGGTGCAAGAGCTATTGGAAACTAAATACGAGGATTTTGGGTGATGAGGAGGGGCAGGGAGGCTTCGAGGCGTTGTGGGCAGAGCTAAGTGAGGAAAGGCGGGGTGTAGAGGATTTGCTGAGGTGGTGGGACAGGGTGGCTAAGGGACGAACACTTCAGTTTTATGTGAGGGAAGGGAAATGCATAATGCAACAATCATACGGGCTCCTTCAGTACCTAGAGGGTAGGTTGAGGGATTGCTATGGAAGAGGTGGACACAGGGGAGTATATCCTGTGGAGGAGATAGAAACGTTGAAGAGGATTCATGAGCTGCAAAATGAACGGTTTAATGCGGTGCATGTGCAGGGGGGGTTGAGGAGGTGTTGTGGGGCGATCGACCGTCAGCGTGTGTTTTACGGAGTCAGCAGCACCATCGGAAAGCCACTGAGGTTGGTAGGTTAGTCGTCCACTCTGAAGTGGGGGGTTATCAGGAGGGGCAAGTGTTGCGGACGACAGAGGGGATGAGTGGTTATGTGGATGCATGGTATGAGCAGTATTTGGGGAGTAGTGGAGTGGGAGGTGAGGCTTTGCGTAGTGTCTGTGAGCTAGTGCCATGCTCATTGGGGCGTAGTGATCAAGTAGCGCTGGGTGGGGAGATAGATGAGGACGAGGTTTGGCAGGCATTGGTGAGTATGCATACGGGAAAGGCTCTGGGGATAGATCAATTGCCCTGTGAATTTTACCTGCAGAATTGGAAGTTGATGAGTGGATTCC